AAATCCAAAATCGGTCTCTAGTGTCCAAACCCAAAATCGGCCACTAGTGTCCAAATCCAAAATCGGCCTCTAGTGTCCAAAATCCAAAATCGCCACTAGGGTCCAAAATCGAAAATCAGACAGAATAGCTAAAATAGATAGAATAGACAAAATAGTGAGGCTAAGACTTCATGTTGCTGTTGATAAAACGCGTATATGCGGAGAATCTATATTGTTGGAGAATTTAATTTTTCAGAGCTGAAACTATAAGGGTGGGAAGTACAGCAGTGAAAATCAACGGAAATATCATTTTTGTAATCAAGTGAAAAGTTCCTGAAACCGTTCTTAGCAACTGAGGATTCCTCCATTTTGATGCACTGCACTAGTGACAAGTTGGAAAGAAAATAACGCAAACGATCAAAACATCTCTTTTAAGTAGAAGTATGGTATATTACTTTGGCAAAGTATTGTCTTTGATGGATAGTTTTACGTTTCCGGTGGCCGCCGAAAGGAATATGCATATATGATTATCGTAGAATAACGGATAACATTGGAAGAACTCGTGCTAAAACTAGTCCCGAGTATAGTCTGTACCAGTGTACTGTTTTCCACTTCTTAAGGGGCGTGACTTTCCTTTTGCTAGATAGCGTTCTTAAATTCTATTTTCAAATATTTCGGGTTCTAACCCGTTTATTAAATTAAAAGTTCTGCTTTTCACTATAATTGTAACAGAGTCCCTAAACGAAAAAATATCTATACTTTCTACATTCTGATCTCGCCACGAATTATCTGCTCATACTTGATCTCATCTAGGGCTAGGTATGTTTTCTCTTTGCTATCAAAGTAAAACAGTTGATCCTCTATAACTCCGATATTAAAGCCCTCGTTTCTCAACTTGGACTTTTGAAGTTTGAAAGTTCCCGTTAAGTCGACGCTGTGAACGATTCTGAGGAACATGGGAGAGGCGTAACTCGGGAGAAGTTTCTTCAAACTAGCAGCTAGCTCCATAAGATCGACCTTGCATTCAGGATCAACTATGGCAGCCATGCCCGCCCGCCCTTCAGTGCCTGGGACCACGACGCCGTAGACAACAACATCGCGAAGGCCTACCACTTTGCTCATCACCGACTCCACTTCGGCCGTCGATACATTCTCACCACGCCATCGGAACGTGTCGCCGGTGCGATCGTGAAAATAAATGTAGCCGAGCTCATCTCGGACGACTAAGTCTCCGGAAAGGAATGCTGCGTCGCCTTTGCGGAAAACGTCGTGAGCAATTTTCTTTTTGGTTTCAACCGAGTTTAGGTATCCGTCAAAGCGCAGGGAAGGATCACCTACAGGTGGCGTAAATAAAAGTGACAAGATCAAATCGAAAACTCTTCTAACTGACGCCTTACACCTTTTAGAATGTTTGTTTTGAGAATTTTATGTGAAATGACGATATCATATGACAATATGTTGTTTGTGAATGAAAGTGATCCACGCAGTAATGTGCACTACTTAGGCAGTAGTGAAAATAAGGCCTGAAAAAAATTCAGGCCTGTACGGGATTTGAACCCATGACCTCTGCGATTCCGGTGCAGCGCTCTACTAACTGAGCTAACAAGCCAACTGGGAGCTGGTCATGAAGTGATGAATAAATGGTTGAGAATATATGAAAGTCATATATTTGAACTGCGGATAAAGACTTGTTAAAGTAGTGTACATTACTGCGAGGATCACTTTCTAGCCCATGATTCACAATCATGGGCGTTCTACCACATAGTGATAAGGGTAGTGAGGAACTAATGGGGAGCTACAGCCCAAGTTGTATACTAGGTCCACATGGGATATTTCCCTGCCTACTGCTTGAATCGAAACGTCGAAAGCGTCTTGTGTACGGCATGTTGAGAATTTCTAAAAATACAATCAACCCTGAACCCTGACATTACTTTATTAAAAATAGGTTGCTTTGACTCGATCCCCAAAAGGACATCAGACGACTTTGGCGCTTAAGAACCAACACATTAAACCCTCACATCCTCGGAAGCGTCCAAACATAAACGGATTAATATCAGTATCTGGGCAACTGCCCACCTACCCCTCCCCTAACCCAACAACAGTCAAGGTTAATGTTGGGTTAGGGGAGGGGTAGGTGGGCAGTTGCCCAGATACTGATATTGATCCACATAAACTTCCCTAGACAGTATCATGTATGACAATAGGCTTTGCCTCGAGGTTTCCACTGGTCATGTGTATCTGCTGCGACTTCTGATTTGCAAATTGTGATAATTAGGCTTTTCCTCATATTTCCTTCGATCACCTGATAACCACCCCTCACCAAATAATTACCTCTTGAGCTCTTTCCAACAATCTGTCCAACTTCCCCTGGCTTTGTTCTCACAGCCAGTCCATCCGGACCGCGCACTAGTTCACCTGTTTCAGGATCAACTTTGAAAATCACTACAGGATAGACGGATGGCAAGATCTCAGACACGAATCCGCATGCACCGGGGGTACTGTCAATGTTTATCACAGAGGCCGTCCCCTCTGTGGAACCGTAAAATTCTCCAATCTCCTCTATGCCAAAACGCGTCTGGAATTCTTTCCATATCTGAGGCCGGAGGCCGTTACCAATCGCCAGGCGGACAGAGTGCTTGTTTTCTGAAGGACGATGAGGTTGGGACAAGAGATATCGGCACAGCTCGCCAATGTATTGAACGACCTGTGAGTAAGAGAAGGAACACATTGACGATACTACAAATCGTATTCTGCGACGCGCATCCCAAAAATATAAATTTGAAAAGATAGGGAAAAAAACTTCCAAAGTTGTAAGAATGAACGAAAAAGGAACACAGATAGCTGAAAGTGAAGAATCTCTGACATAGATTACAAACTAAAAACTTTGAAAATGTAGAATCTGATACTTTACGACAGCCATTCAAAAAGTACTCTACCACGAATTATGTCCAAAAAAACCACTTTGAGTATAGAGACAAAAGATAATAACAACAACAAGAATAATAATAATAATAATAATAATAATAATAATAATAATAACAATAATAATAATAGTGGTTTATTAACAGTGTATCCACCCGGTGGCTCTTCACCTGTTAAAAACTACAATATAAAAAACGAAAAACTGCAATATACTACAGAAAAAAAAAAGGATGAAGTCTACAATATAAAAAGAAATAATATCGGACTATTAAAGGATATTGTATAAAAATGTAACAGAGATTGCTAATAGTAAGATAAGAATACATAAGAAGAAAGGAGATAGCGGGAAATTTATTTGAAGCAATACTCCTCGGGGAATGGGAGGGAACAGGCACGAATACAATGCATTTCCAGCGCAAGTCGATTAAGCGTGACATTTACAGCAACAGCAAAGCCTGCAACCTTAAAGGCAGAATATTTTAATCCTGATGCACAAACGGCTAAGGACTGGCGACAATAAATTCAATTTTTGCTGTAGTTTGTACACATCAAGCTTCAGTTCTCTATTCTGCGAGGGATATCTCCTGAGGAAAGCTCTGAGGAGTCAAGGGAAGAGACCCAAGTATGGACCACTAATTCTTGAAAATTCCACGCTCATTTGTGAACCTCGGCAAATGCGTAGTTTTACGATTACAGGCCTTGAACATTGAAGATACAGAACACACTTACCGTAGCCTTTGTTTCAATGCAGTCATCCCAGAAACTGCTGGCAGAGAATTTGCGTCTTAGCGCTAACGTACAACCACCTACGAAACACAATCCAACACCCAATATTCCAGCTGCACTATGATTCAGTGGCATGGAGCAGTAAACTACATCATCATTCCGCACCTTCAGTGCACAGACCACCCCGTATGAATTCCTAAAGAATCTGAAATAAAGAAAAAAACGATTTCGTTAAGGTGGCTTTTAACATTTTACATTCAATTTACACAAAGTTGATTGTGAATATATGAAAATCATATATGTGAACGGCAGATTAAAAAATGAATGAAGGCGATCTTCGCAATAATGAAAATTATCTGAGCAATAGATAAAAACAAGGCCTGAAAAAAACTCAGGATGAGGTTCAACCTATCACCTTTGCGATCTCGGTGCATTACTCTGGTGTCGCAAAAGTTATGGGTCCAAATTCCGTACAGGCCTGAATTTTTTTCACACCTTATTTTCACTATTGTAAGTAGTTTTCATTTCTGCGGAGATCGCTTTCATCCATCACTCTAAGTTGTTGATGCTTGTGGAGACTATTCAGACGGGTGGCGAATCTCTGGTCACGAATCTAAAACGCAGGTCACGGGTCGCGGGCACCAATAAAATTGAGTATGTTAAGGGAAACTTAACGGTTATCTGTTCCATGCCTTTTGCTGTCTTGCCATTCAACTTCTCTAAACAAACCCAAAGTCATCAGCTATGCAGCCTGACAGCATAAAATTATCTCTGTGTATGTGCACTTTGTTTTTAGATGTTCTTGCTAAGAAATTCTTTCAATTACTCGTAAACATTCAAGTATGCATACCTGGCACTTGTTACAACAGCAGCTTTGGGTAATCCAGTCGTCCCAGATGTGTATATATACATTAATACGTCTGATTTGAAAATTAGAAAGGTAAATACATAAAGGAAATGATATGAAAATCATAGGGAAAAGTTATTAGTTAAATTAGGAGATGAATACTCTCTTAGTTACATAGACAAAAGTATCATTTACTGCTGAATCAGAATATAGGTGAAAAATACGCAAGAGGTTGAAGATTTAACAACAAAATAAACCAGACAGGGCTGAAATCCAGAACACCAAGTGTGCAGCCATACATCATTGAACCCCAAGAGCAATTGGCACCTAGTTTCTACTTACAGTTTCATTGTTGAATCAAACAATAAAGGTCATGAAAAATAAAGGAAATGGTCACCAACTGAAAGAGCTGTTAATTGTTTAACAAGTTCCTCTGCTCAGCATCTTAGAAAATGTAAAGAGAACAGTAGGGAGAATATTAATACTGATGTTAGGGTGTAAAAGCTAAACCCTTTAACTCCCAGAAGTGATTTACATGTAACTTCTCCCAACAACATCCATACATCATCCAACAAACAGGTAATGAGATAACTCAAACTTATCAGTTGGAGATTGTTATTATGGCATAACACCAAATTTTTTGTCACTAAATTACAAGGAAATGTGAAACAGCTAAATGGGAGAATTAACAATCAGATCTTGGGAGTTAAAGGGTTAAGCATTAACCTCTAGGTAACCATATCTGCCAATATTTCACTGAGAAACTGTCAAAAATTTTTGTTATTGAGCAGATATCGAAGCTCAATGAACTCAAGGATATATAATGTAAGTGCAATCTCTTGTGACGTACAACCCCACACTATCCACAACCTCTGGTCAACAAATTACTGTGGACAGCATTAACTTCTTAAATACATAGAATCATCTTATTTCAATACCAGCATGAGATTTAGGATGATTGACTTCAGGCATTGCAGGTGAACTTGCTTCAATTTCCTGGTTCAAATGAACTACAGAGGCCATGGAAGTTGATCTAACTCCAATGGAGTAGAGCTCTACAACTTCTGGAATTTTTGTGCGAATTTCCTTTATAGCATCTACAAAAAAATGTCAACAATATTTTTATTCCAAGGATGTTTTCAACTGACTGCTGATGGAAAGAATTAATTAACCAGGAAACATTAAGAGGAAACTGAGGGAAAGAAAAAATAGAGACACTGGTGAGAGAGATGGCAAATGTCTTTTTGCATTCATGTTGGCTTCAGAAAAAACACACAATCAATGACTAAAGGGTTTGGGACATTTCACTTTGTTTTCCACCATCCGAGACAAATTAATTTTTATACTAACTGATTCACTATTTTCCTCCAATCAACCATGGAACAGACTCCTCCCCCTTACATGTTTTACCCTGTCTCAAACAAGAGACATCTAAATATATTACCTGACAGATCTGTACCAAAGATCACAGCTCTAACAGAAGCTACAGATATACAGTGAAAAAGTGAATCCACTCGCAGATTGGTGTTGATAAGTGCTGTAACTACACCAAGTTTGGATAATCCAAGCCAGATGCAAATAAACTCAGGACAGTTCTCCAAGAAAAGGGCTACCACGTCGCCTTTCTGGTATCCCTGTGCCTTGAAAAAATTTGCGATCCTGTTTGAATATTCATCTACTTCTTTAAATGACCATATTCTCTTTTCAAATATAATGGCAGCCTTTTGGGGATGCTTGGACACTGTTTCCTGAAACATATCAGAAACTGTCCGCTTGTTCTTGACATGTAATCGAGTGGTGATAAGCAGATTAGCAAAACGTGAAAAACCCCTGATGAAGAAAGAAGAATAGTAAAGAATGGTAAAGAAAGTAAGATAACAAATGAAGTCAGTCTGATACTATGCCACATTCCCATAACTTAAACCTTAACACCATAATGTCTGTATACATAACCTCCATACTGTTCTCTATACATTCCCTGTGGTGCTGACTTGGAGAATTTGTTGAACAAATGATGAGCTTCTTTAGTCAGTGATCATTTCATTTTTTCTTATGACCTCAACCCTTTCCCATGAGTGACCAAGATAGAATTTCTTCTTACAATATCAGAACAATATCCACCAGATAAAGGATGAGAATAAAGAAAAAAATCAATTTTAAGATAATTAGCTGATCCAATACTAAATTCTCTGAACTAACATTAAAAGAATTGTATGGTTGACAATAAGGAGAACTACAAATTTTATCTGGGAGTTAAAGGGTTAATGAGTGATTCAGGAGTGAATCAGGGAGAAATTTGACCCTAATCACTCATAGGGGTCAAAGGCTTAAGCATGCACACAATGAGTAACGCAATGGTTACTGCACTTGACCATGCATTAACCCTTTAACTCCCAGAAGTGATTGACATAAAACTTCTCCTTACAATATCCATACATTATTCAGCAAACAGGTAATTAGAATATTCAAACTTATCAGGTAGAAGCTGCTATCTTGATCTGGCACCAAGTTCTCATAACTAATTTACAAGGAAATGTGTAGCAGCTAGAGGGGAGAATTAACAATCAGATCTTGAGAGTTAAAGGGTTAATACACATGTCTGAGCCATTGCCAATTTATTGTGTTGTGTTCTTGCAAGGGTTTCAAACTGTTTTGAAGTAGGCCTCAGACTCTACAAAGGTAAGTGACTGTAAAAGGTTCATTAAGGGCCTAAAGGTAATTATTTTGACCAGAGTAACTGGCGTCATGTTATCAAGTAGCTGGTAGACCTCTGGTGGTTGCCAGCTTGTTTTGAAACCTCTGTTCTTTAGCAGGAAACACAACTCTCCAAGTGTCTCTCTTCACTAAGGACTACAAATGGTTGCTCTGAAACTGTCAAGGTAACCTAACATAATACTAAAAAGTTTCCCACCCAGGGTCGAGTGATGATACTTTTAATCGCCTTATGGTATTGAAACTGGAATAAACTCCTTCTGGCTCACAAGCCACTAGCTGATTAACAGTGTACATTTAACACTTAATCTTGCATGTATCACCTTAGGGGGAAGGGAGAGATAAGGTATAAAGGAAGTAACCATGCTGCTTAGTCTTGACTATAGCAAACAAATTAAAAAATGAAGGATCAACCCTCTTCATCTCATTATTAAAACTAATACAATCAAGTAAATAGACCTTCCTTGGTTATGTGGAATAATACAAAAACTCAGATCATATGAATATAATAATTATTATTAATTACATTCAAATGGATGTAGGAATCAAAGTAAAGGCCCTATGAACCATTCTCTATTCAAACTTGCACAAAGAGTTGTTATAAGTCAAAGACAAAGTTCCTTCTTCAAAGACTAAACAACAAACATAACTATGCTATTACATGTTTGGAAGATTTCCTCACAGCCCCATACTTCCTTAAACATACAGTTCTTGGACAAAGAAAACATTATGGTGAAAACAAAAGATTGCCTTAGGAACTAAGGCTTTGTTTTGGAATAGTGTGGGGTTATACGGAAATATTTCCTCGTGTTTTCAGGAGATGAATTCAATGGCCAATTCAAGGGTGTAATGAAAAGTGATAAAATCACATGTATACGAAATGGGAAAGCTGGATAAGTTTGCATGACCAAATTAAAATATCAAATCATACACGGTTCAATAAATTATGCAAATTGTTTCAGATCAGACTAAGATAACCGTATATCATAATCATTTCATCAGTAACCGACGTGTCATTTTAAAAGCACAAAAGCATGAGCTCTAAGCGAACGAATGAGCTTAGGTTCGAGCGGTAAGCTAAGCTGGCATACGTACTGCAGCTGTTTTTCGATCGACTAATTTTCCGTTGTGTCGAGTTTCAGGCCATATTGTAAGTAGGAAAAACGCATCGAAACAAACACACCTACCTTATATCGCGCAAAATTGTTCGGAAGAAAACTCGCGGAAAATCCTTTCCCCCAGATGCCAGAAACGCCAGAAACAGGAGAACAGGAAAAACGATGAATGGAAGCTGAAAATATACAACGATCACGGCAAAACTAGCCACAACTGCAGCCCAGATGTAATACATTTTTCTTGATTTCAAGTGACGGACAACTCGAGTTGGAAATGACAGCTTTTTTAAACAATATGTCCCTTCCAGCATGAATCCGCTTTCCACAGTTAGCACGCGCACTAATATAGTAGTGTAGAAATACAAGTACTTTTCTCGTCAAGCAATTAAATTGATAATGTGGCGACTGTCTTCGACGATAAAGTATCGATTGTCACCAGCGGTACGATTGACTATTGATTGTCAATGGTCGTTAGGGTCGAGGCGCGGTAAATAGTTAGCACCTTAGAGACGCCTGCTCTCAAATAAGATCAATCAACTGTGGTCTTATAGGTGCATTCGATTGAATTGGTTCGCACAAGATTTCCTTTAACGAGATGATATTTGAATCCATGAAGGCGACGAAATCGAGAAGCCAGACTACCGTTTCGTTATTTTGATACCAGCATTTTCCAAAGTTTGTTGGATATCTAATTCCTGCGTCGTTTCATTGGAGGAGATAGTGAAGGGATTGAAGCCAGTTATAAATGAGTTCGGCTACTGTGACGAAAACTGTGGCAAAGAAATTGTAAGTTTATCTTTTACCTCCTATTTTATTCCACTATCACTTGCTGCGGTGCTTGAAACAAGAGATTTACACGAGAATGTTTGCAATAGAAAAGTCTCACGAGTGTAGCATCATTTAGTGTCTTAAATTGATTATCATTATTAATTTCGACGATGAAAACAATCCAAGAGATATTTAGTAGAACTATTACCAAATTATATTTTACGAGGACTATTTTATCGAGTTTGCCTTCGATGCAGTGGCTTGAAATAACGCTTAATTTTGTGTAATTAAGAATTACGGTTAGGACCGAAGACTTCGAAAAGCCGTTGCAGCATTACGGTATAGTGAAACTTCAAATAAAAGGGTAAGTTACACTTGTGAAAGGTTTCCATTTGTTTGATTTTAGTCTGGTTTCAATTTTTTTGTGAGCTTAAGTTCATAACAGAGGCACGAGACAACTCACGGCAAACGTTTTAAAAAGTAAACAACTTCCGCAGGTCTCTGTAGTGGATATAACTTGACCATAAGTGGACTGATTGATAAAATCTCAAGTGGAATGTTATTGTCTACTAAGTTTGTAACTTTTGATATAGAGCAAAAAAGGAGAAGATTTAACACTATATGTGTTTCAGTATAAAATATAGTATGCAGTTGATTCAAGATGACTTAACACAGCCAGTCAAAAGCTAATAAACATGGTCTCAGTCTCTAGGTCTGCATCAATTTGACAGAAGGTTCATATTGTTAAGATCATCTTGCAACTTTGTTCAGTTTGTGTGCCAGGAAAATCATAATCAATAGAGTGATTACAATTTTATATTTCTTTGCTGTGTTTTCGTTTTGTTCAAAACGTTTAGCCCTATTCAAACACTAAACTTGTCACTAGCCTAACTTGATACCTGTTTATATTGGTAATAGGACTAAGTGGAGTCCAATTCGGTCTGTAATCAGATGAGTGATTAACAAAATCGGATGATGGCAAAGCATTTGTTAATCACAAGTAACTTGAAGTCCTGTGACCAATTAATCAAAACTATGACAAAATTTGAGAAAGAAATTAGACATTGGTTATATGTTCTCGCACAAAAAAACAACAACAACAATGATTAACTTGATGAAATGCCAGACAACAGCGCTTACACATGATGTGTTCTGTCTACTTACACAGGCATGACATGTTAACTGTCCTATTACACTATCCAATTACAAGCGTGATGCGTACACTGACCTATTAGTGCTAAAATCGGGCTGGTGATAACTAATCACATTCAAGAATTTTTTTTATGGTTTTGATTAAGTTAGAAATCTGCATCATAATGAGTAGCTATTTCGATTTTGAAATTTTCAGCTATTTTTCCCACCAGGCTTGTGCAAGATTTTCAATACCTTAGACTTAACTTATCATGGGCTGAAATTGATGCATAAATTATGAAAATACATGTTCCCAAAGCTGTTAGAATTCCAGAACTGAATAAAGAAGGATTATGGATTGGCAAATTGATTTCTGTGTCTGACTTAACAGGGGGCACTTTTGTTAATTTGGTTTGGTCCAACATTAAAATCATGTCATATTATGTCATGCAGAGATTATTTATTTTATCAACCAAGTTGATTATGTGAATTGGCGACTGTAGAGAGGTTGTAGAGCAGCCTTTTTGAGCATTAACTCTTTTCAGAGCAAATCAAGCTAAGTTTGGCATCTGAACTAGGCCTTATCCTTCCTGTGATCTTACTAGGCAAACATCACAAAGAATGAAGTATACCTTTTCAAGATAAGACACTTAAATTGGCAATGATTATTTGACCTTTCTGGGCTGTATATTGATATGATGTAATCAATTGGTAGAAACACTGTTGATAAAATTTTGCTGGAATTTTAAGCAGGATTCCAAAGCAAGTGTCTTTAAAAAGTCTTTGTTGAGGTCTCTTCCTTGAACAAATTGAAGTTATATTCCACTTACATAGATAATTTTTGATATCCACTCTCCTCCTGAACTGATTTACCTCAAGGAAGATGTGAACCACTTTCCCAAAGACTGATGAAAATGAATAATATTGAAAATAATCAATTTCTTGCATAGAAAAATGAAAGTGATTCAGGACTTTTTTGAAGCAGTGACATGGAAACATCATATAAGGTCACTTTGCCGATGTTCTTTGACATTGTTAGCATTTATAAAAGGAAATAATTCATAGAGGAATTTGGAATTCTCTGATTAAAATGAGCAATACTCAAATTGGTAAAAGTACATTTAAGTGTAGAAAGGACCTTAAACATCCAAAAAATACCAAATATAATTTTTTTATTCTGAAAAATTTTTTTGATTCATTGATGATCATCTCCCTTTGAAGATAAATGCTGTTTCCTACTGGTTCCTTGATTTTCTGTTATAGAAATATATCGCTCACCTGTGTTCAGGATGATTAAATTTGTTTGGTAAAGTAGGGAGATTTTTTTAATGTTATGTTTCAGAAAGAAACACTATTATAACTGAGCCCAGTTCACTTTCCTCTTGTACTTTAGCTTAACCCCATGAGTGACTAGGACAGAATTTCTCCTTTCAGTATCAACTCAATAGCAAGCAGACAAGTGATGAGAATAAAGAAAATATCAGTGAGGGGATTACTAGATGACCTAAGACCAAATTCTCTTAGCTGACATCATAAGAATTGTATGGCAGGCAGTAAGGAGAATTACAAATGAGATCCTAGGAGTGAAAGGGTTAACTGTTTTGATTCAACTTTGGTTGTAATTTTTTTTTTTTATGTGTAAATTGTTTCAGACAAAATGGATATGCACAGATAATACAAATTTATTTTAGATATCACATGCCTATAGAATTTTAGAACAGGTAATGAATATTATTAGATAAATACTAGATTAAAAAAGAACTATTGATTACATTTAATCATTGTTTCACTTGGTTATCTTTAAAGGACTGTTTTCATAAATAATTAAATAATTTTCATACCTATAGGTAATCATCCAGTAGTAATTGTCATTGTTCAAGTTTGTAATTGTAAGCCAATTAACATAAACATCTTACAATTTCTTACAGTTTATTTAGAAATTGCATCGAATCAAAGCCCTCCTTGAAGAAGTTCTAGGTTGCATAGAAAAGATAGTTTTTTTCTTGTGGGTAAGCCATGGAACCAGGCTATGTTTTTTTAGAAAACATTTGTGAAATGTTGTGTAATGGGCTTCAGACTGACAATAAATTATTCATGTGTTAAAAACACATTACTCAGTGTTTCCATGGTCTCATAACTTTGCTGGATCATAATAGTCAGTGTAAATCCTGTGCAAGCTTTCAGTTAGACTTATTTTAGCAACAAGAACAAGTAATCAGACTTTGACTCTACAACTTAAGTTGGTGATTTTACCCACTGGCACTATCTGGTGTTCAATTTGATCATGATTTTAAGTGGAAGATTGTCTTTGGAATAATACATGAGGAGGACACTAAAGAGGAATTTGAATCACCAACGTTGCCCCAATTCTTGTCTGTATTTTCTAGCAGAGGATACAGACTCTGAACATGGCAGTGATAAGATGTATGATCCAAAATAAGCAATTAAGATTTTTTCTCAATAGTAGTGAAAATTAATTTGCATGGTAATGTTACCTTATTTTATGTGCATGATTTCATGTTTGTGTTTTACTTTTAATTTGGGCTCATTATTTTTTGAGCTCTTATGTTAAAATGTTTTAGATCTTTCACTGTTTTTTTTTTGCTATATTATGTACTAGTATATGGCACATATTCTAGTAAACATAGACTACATTTGTGTATAGTATTCATATACAAATGTAAACATAATATCTTGAGATTTGTTCAGTGTTATTTGATAGTTGCAGATGAGACTACAAATTTATCTGTAACTTTGTGAACACATTAAATTTGAATTTCATAAATTTAGTTACTGCTCTGGTTAATTTGATGTATGTGAGTAATGTAAGGAAATTGAGGTATGTATTAATTTTGTGCTTAGGTCAGGTTCAAGTGTATTTATTGTCCATTATAATTACTGTTTGGTTTTGCTTCAGGAAGTACTATCTAGATGTACAAAGGAGAGAAGACGGTTTTGATTTATCAGGTCCATGTCATCCTAGAGAAGATCCCATTCCATTGAGAGCTGTAAGAATTTTTTGATATAAATTACTGCTTAATTGAATCATGAAATTGATAGTATAGTTCCAAGTAACATTTTTAAAAAAATTGTGATGATGGCATTCTTATTTTTCTTCTTTTCATTTTCACACTGGTGTCCACATACACTATTTAAGGTCTTTAATATGTATTCCTGATGTAATTAAAATAGCAGATTTATGAAATGCTAGTCTTCTTTGTGAGAAATCCTCTGATGTCATACTCAAGATATGTTAGAATTATTGATATTAACTTGGTAGGAATTATGTGCAACTTACATGTAATAACTTGTTAAGGTTTCTCCATAATTCTACAGATTCCAACTAGAGTAGGTAATGATGTTTTATCTGTGTGTATCTACATGTAACTTTCTCTAATCGTTCTCCATAAGCCGTTTTATAAATGAATATATTTAGTGTGTTGAAGCACATTTTTATCATGCAAAAAATGCCTCAAAGTTAACCTCTGAGACTTAATTAAGCCTTCAATTAATTTCTGTCTATGGTTATC